CGCTAGACATGTGCTTACTAAACCTTCCGATTTGTTGTTCTTCGCCGGGCCTTGCGCGGGGGGATCATCATGGGCACGCCTCAACAAGACTCGCGGAATTGATACTGCAGTTGAAATCAAACGACATGCATGACGAAACGTGCTGCGATTTTGTTTGAGTTGCCTGGAAGTTGCCGCTACGGCTTGAAGCAAAGGTATGCGAAGAAACCCCTGCCAATCAAGAAACCATGGAGAGTTGTTTCATGGAACTTTGAACTTGGTAGCTCGTTGTCTAAGAAGTGTTTCCATTAACATGGACCTTGTGCTGGTCGGGGAACCAAAGAAACCCAGTTGTACACGTCATTAATTGTGTGTGTGATCCTCCGGCGTTTTCGTGCTCGAGCAAAGTGCCTTCAACCGGCACCATTGAAACTTGCTCTTGCTTGCATTGCGCGAGGAAATCCACGGAAGCATCAAGCTGCTACGTGTGAGAGTCGCACCGCTTCGACTGTGCCAACGAGGGGCTGGGCCAGACCCGAACCTCAGGTTTCAACAAGGGACTGGGCTAGTCCCGAACCTCAAGTTGAAGCTGGGTGCAACTTGGGACCATTCTTTCTTTACAGCTGGCTATTTTGGTTTTTCCTGGTTCTGGAGAATATCATCAAGATGACTGCCAAATCCAGACCAGGCGTCGATATTCTTGGGAAACCTGGTGAAGAACGCTATCGAGGAGGGCAAAAGAATCTGCAAGAGAATGGAGATGAGCAGTGACCTGGGTACGTGCGCAAAATGGGTCGAGGACATCGGCGTCCCCGTCATTTATGCATACTCAGCATATTACTCTGCGAAATGCCGCGGAATGATGCAATCCATGAGGGCTGCGCTGGAATTCCTCAGCAAGATCTTCGGACTCCTCTCTGCCAAAGAATGCATGCTTGGATGGAGGGAGTTTTGCAGCAAGGGGAAAAAGATAGTCGCGGCGCTGAACCAGAGGCGTCGCTACTGACGAAGAATCCTGAACTGCTTAATGTTACCAAGTATTGCGTCGAGGATCTTACCCTTTGCCGGGTTTAGGGTTTCCTTGATCCAAGATAGACTCCGCACAGCCTCCGGCGCCTATGGAGCAACGAGGGGTCAGCTTTCCGCCCCCGCAATCAGATTGCGGCGGGCCATATTGGAAAAAAGCTTCAGTTTCCGCGCACGCGGCGCTCCCGTGATCGGACTGCGGAGCGAGCCATAAGAGGGGGGGGCTGAGAAATTTGCGCCCTGTCACCAGTCGTTGCGCCAACTTCCCGCACACGTGCTTTTTGTAGGGCGAGCCAGTTGAGTTAAACTCGAAAAAGGATTGCAGCGGGCCATGTTGGAAAAAAGCTTCAGTTTCCGCGCACGCGGCACTCCCGTGATCGGATTGCGGAGCGAGCCACAAGAGGGGGGGGGGTTAGAAATTTGCGCGCTGCAATCATCGTTGCGCCAACTTCTCGCGTGCGTGCTTTTTGTAGGGCGAGCCAGCTTGGCTCGAAAAAGGATTGCGGCGGGCCATATTGGAAAAAAGCTTCAGTTTCCGCGCACGGCACTCCCGTGATCGGACTGCGGAGCGAGCCATAAGAGGGGGGGGGGCTGAGAAATTTGCGCCCTGTCATCAGTCGTTGCGCCAACTTCCCGAGTTGAGTTAAACTCGAAAAAGGATTGCAGCGGGCCCTCACGCGGTATGTGCACGGACCTTGGAGGGTCACAATCTTTTGCCTCAAGCCGGGTTGCTGGCCTGTGGAAGGCGATGCGCCGCTTTCTGTGTCTCGCAGTGATGACCTTGACAAGGTGGCCAGCCAAAAAAAGAAGCACAGGCAGCTCCCGGCAATCCCAGTGGCATGTGTCTGTTTTTGGCCTGGGCACCCAACGCATGTCCCAAGTTACATCCCCTCTACGGGCCCTCAACTCAATTCCCTTTTCAGGGAGCGGTCCCCGTGTTGTATTCTCGGGTTAACCGGGTTGTCATTTGATCATGTAGATTTTAAGATTTGCCCGAGTGCTGTGCGTCGATGAATGTTTTTAGTTTTTCACTAGCTATTTAGAATTTTTCTGTTATCCCGAATTTTGAGTTGTTTGATTGTTTTTGACCATTTGGATTTGATGGCTTGCCTCCAGTCTTACACACCAGCATGAAGGAAGCATGCTGAATGCTGTTCGTTGCCCGGAAAGTTTTGGCTTTAGATCTCTGCTATGCAGGTCTGCTGCGGATACCAGCACATGATCAACACTGCGTGAGCCATCCCCGGGAATGATAACTAGACCGGCATTATATTCTCAGAAAGGTTCCGTGAAGCAGATTATGACAATCTAGGAGACATGCCTGCGTGCGCACTAGCCATGTTCGAGTCGGTGGATTCCGACTGGCACCCCTGGTTCCTTCTGCGGCTGATCGATGCTGATGCTCGATGGATTGAGCAGGGCTTTACACCCCGCGAATGCTGGGAGTACCGCCACAATGTGAGGCGCTGGAGAGCCCGCCGCATCTTGATTGCTATTGGGTTGGATCTTTAGACTTTAACTTTTTCGGAAATCAAGGATTTTCCATTCAGTTAAACTTTTTGCAGAGGGGTCAACAGCAACCAATGGTTGGCAACCAAGGCATGAAGAGGGTGTTGCAGCAGATGAGGGCCCGCTTCAATGCCAAGGTCAGACTCCTCAATGCCAAGGGCTGCAACTTCAACTTCAACGCCAAGCAGCCGAAGACTCTCATAGCAGGCAAGCAGGTGATCAAGAAGCATTACAGCGCTGCGTCATAATCAGGCATGCCGCGCTCTTGCCTCTTGGCAAGTCTTGGAATTGCGACGCGAGGCTGTATAGCGGCACTGAGTTGCCTTTCGGAATTGCGTCGCGACGTCAAATTGCATTCGGCAAGCTGCAGCTGTATAGCGGCGCTGAGCTTGAATTTTGACGCAAACTCCACCTGTACAGCCGGCCACATAAAAAAGTAATATGAATACTAAATAAATCCATCAAACAATAAATGAATACATACATATAAATAATAATAACTAATATGTTATGTTTACACATATATGATAATAATAATGATAATATATTAATAGTTGCACCCACCTTTGTGTGAAAAACATTTTTTAACGATTGCCCCCCCCTGTTATGTTTGGAGGTGTCCCTTTTTGAGGCTTGGGTTCCGCATGTGTTTATCTGTTTGGAGGTGCCCCTTTTTAGGGTTTGGGGTTTTGTTTTTTTTGGTGAGTGGCCGCCCTGACGCCCCACCTTGGTGTGAAATTAGGGAGCCCCCCTGTTATGTTTGGAGGTGTCCCTTTTTGAGGCTTGGGTTCCGCATGTGTTTATATGTTTGGAGGTGCCCCTTTTTAGGGTTTGGGGTTTTGTTTTTTGCTAAGTAACCACCCTGACGCCCCACCTGGGTGTGAAAAACATGTTTTATTGAGGCTTGGGGTTCCGCATGTGTTTATATGTTTGGAGGTGCCCCTTTTTAGGGTTTGGGGTTTTTCTTTTTTTAGTGAGCCATCCTGCAAGTTGAAGCCTGCTTGTCACATTGGATACCAGTTGCGCTAAATGTCAAGATGGCAGAGCAGATGGCAAGCACAGCTGCTCGCTAGAGGGTAACGACGGTTGTTTCCAGTGGAAAGCCATTTGTCATGTGTTGGCCGCAGCTGTGTGCAGGCAACTTAGCAAGACCGCCGCAATTTGGCTGAGTGGCCCCCTTTGATATGTTTGGAGGTGTCCCTTTTTGAAGCTTGGGGTTTTGCATGTGTGTATATTTTTGGAGGTGCCCCTTTTTAGGGTTTGGGGTTGTGCAATGAAACGTCCTGCTGCCTCCACGGATGGTGGCTCGCTTGCAGAGCTGGACTTCAGCATCTTTGAGGATGATCTGGCTCTGGGCGCTCGCGTGGGGGATGACTCAGCTTCGCATGAAAGGCGAGGAGGGTGAAATCAGTAAATCGGCATTTGCGAAAAAACAAACACCTAGAACCACGCCAGTTTGTTTTTTTTTCGTGAGTTGGCCAAGCCTTCAAACCTTTGGGCAGGAAACGCCCCGATAAGAAGCGTGTATTTTTTGCACCATGGCGCAGGTTGAGCCTGGCAGAGATGAGACATACAACCCGGCCACGCAATCGTGGCTCGGCTCGAACGTGTCATCATCATCATCATCATCATCATCATCATCATCATCATCATCATCATTGATCATCATCGTGTCATGCGAGCCTCGTTGCATTGTTCCGTGCTGTGGCTCCATCGTTTTAGGGCATGGGCCAGCACTCGCCAGGACGAAAGGCAAAGAGTCACAAGGTTGACGGTGATCAAGGCCCGGCTGTTGACGCGGTTGCGAGTGGCGAGCTCCTGGATTCAGAAGCGGCAGCGGCAGACAAGAAGACTTGATGCTGTGAGCTGCGGGCCTTGCCCTTGCCAGACCTTTGCTGTCGGGTATGTGTCAGCGTGGGGGGCATTAAGACCGATCATGCTTCAGGGCCATTTCTGCCATTTCAGGGTGTGCCTCCAGATAGCAACTGCACAGCTGCGCATTCATGCACGTGCCCTATCCAAGTAAGTCGGCACATAATGCCCCTCATTCCGCCGAAGTGCAGTGCTACATGCAGCTGCCACAGAGCGGTGCAGCCTTGCCCCCCCATCAGTGCCCAGCAGCGGACAGGAGCTCATGTGAAAAGAAGGGTCTGAGCCGCTTGCGTTCGTGCATATGAGGTGTGAGGCCACAGCCCCGTCCAGTCAACCGGTTTAGCCACCCCAAAAACCGGAAATATATTTTGGCGGATGTTGCATTTTTGGGTTTTTTTGTCAAATCCAAGGTTTGACGGTTTGGATTTCAGTACCCACTGGCCATTTTCAATGTTTTTTGAAATTTTCATGTGAGTCTACCAGCGATGTCCTTGTTTTTTTAAACTATAATTTTCTCCCCCAATGTATGTGGTTTTTGGCACATTTTTTTTAAGGCTAAAACATAAAAACACATGAAAAAAATCCTCTCCAGACCTGAGCTCGCGAAAGTTAACATTCCGCAGCGCTGCCCGCTTCGCAGCCGCCAAGCCGTCCGCCGATCCGCCCAAAGCCCGCGCGCGACCGTCAAAGAACATTACCAGCCTGTTCTGCTGCAAGATGTCCAGGCAGTGCTTGGTGAAGCCGTGCACGTGAAAGCACTGCCCTTCGCTGAAGAGAGCCTGGCCGCAGTCAAGAACGAATTAAAAAGGTGAACGACACAGATGCTAACTACTGAAGCCAAGCGACATGACCACAACAGAACGCCACAGGCATGCCCCATCAGTGGAAACTGAAACACCGACAAGCGCGTCGGCAAGCTACCGCCAGGCCTCCATGCGTCCGCAAAAGAGACTCACCTCCTCGTTGGTGCGGGCAATGTCCAAGGATTCATCGTCAAAATACCTTGTAAGCTGCATGCAGGAATCTGCTAAGTCGGCACACATGCCAAGAAGGATGGCGCGCTCAGGGTTGATGGACGCCATCCACTCCGGGGCCCACCGCGCGTCATCTCCGCAAGATGAGGCTATGCGGTTCAGGACTGCGATCATGCTATCCAAGTGGAGAACAATGCGGCCCAAGGGTTTGCTGTAGGAACAAAATCTGTGTTTTGCAGCGCTCAACGTCTTGCCGCGGCTCAGCTCACTTTGCGCCACTGCGTCCGCAAACCAGGAAGAGAAGGTGTGGCTGCGGTTGATTTTCTGGCACACGCTGTTTTTGCCCAGCACGGTCTCCTGTCAGCTTGGCGGCGAAAGGCCCTGTGGGAACATTTCAATAACGAGTGGCCTTGACGTGAATTCTTTGGGCTAATGGGAACCGAAAATGGTCCGCGCTTTGATGGAAAAATCTTTCACTGCGCAATTAACTAAAAGCCTTAATAAAAGGCAAGGCCGAGATTTGATCAGTCCTCCAGCAAGGATTGCACTGCCCTGCATGCGCCCCACGGATGGGAAAGCACTCGCTGACACGCGTGAGCGCGATCCCGTCCAACAATCTTGGCGTTGGGAAACAGCAGCTCCTCTGCCTCAGCGCTGCGCAGGCCCCTGCCCAACTGCTGCGCCAGAATTTCACTAGGGGCGCAGTCCGTGACCACCATGTCGCAGCGGTCCTTAACGGTCGCAAGCAAGTTTTCGTCCAGACGGGTACCACCACGCGGAAGCCCCGAGGTGGTTGGAACTGCTCGGTTGCAAAGGTCTGAAGACCGCAGGAAAGATCTTGCAAGCCCAAAACACCTGTCAGAACTGACATGTCCCGAAGGGTGGCGCGAAAGCGCAGCATCAGCTTCCCCGCGCGCTCATCTCGGATGATGACCAAAGACTTGCAAGTGCGCAAGGCAGACCGGGCTTCTTGCAGGCACGCTTCTGTCAAGCACCAGCGAGTTAAGGTTGCCTGGTCGCTGCTTCCTCCGCCATCGCGCGCGCTGCGGCCCTTGCGCAGGCCTTCCAAAGCCTTCTCAAAATCCTTCCTAGGCGGGGCCGAGCAGGCTGATTTGCTTTTGTCATGCCACGCTTGAAGGGCTTCTTGATGAATCCTGGTCTTGGAGTGCTTGCGGCACGACCAGAGCGCCCCCCGCCGGAATAGCAACGACAGTGGCTGCGCGAAGCGCCCGAACACATTCTGATCGACCGCGCTCCTGCCCTTATCCAAGCCTGAGCCGTCGCCATTCTCAGTGTTCTGCACCATGTTCCGCCGGTAGGCGTGGCACACAACGCACCCCAGCCGAAGCACTCGGCGAAGAGCCTTGTTGGCGAGGTCCGAGGCATCAGGAAGAACGGAAACACAAGCCAGCCAAGTCTGCCTCTCAGTGCCTTCAATGAGGCACTCACTTCGGAGAGCGCCGCCTTTGCGCGCCCAAGTGCACCTGCCGCACTTCTTCCTGCTGCGCCGGCGCGCGTGAGGTCTAAGGTGGTCTGGGCGCACCGCGGCAAGATCCTCCATGGCCGCGGGTCACTCGGAAAAAAACATCCTGAAGCTCAGAGCAACAACTCTACTAACCCTGAGATCACGTAGCTGCGTTGCGCTGCACTGATTGCGCTGCATTGTGTTGCGGTGTGGCGCGTTGTGATTCAGCTGCTTTGATGACATTATGTCGCTTGCGTGTTGCCATTGTCATTGCTGAGCCTGTGAGGCAGAGCAGCGTGGAAATCCAAACCATGAAACGAGTGTTTAGAGCAGCGGGAAAATCCAAACCATGAAACGTTTGACTCGGTGTCTGGTCTTTCCATGTCTTCTGCTGAGGCAACATGTCTGACATATTATATCAATGTTGTGGACAGAACTAAATAAATGAATGGTCTTATTTGAATTAAACAACTGCTGCAGTGCAACCTGGAGTCAATATCGAGAAACTGACAGACTGCGAAAACCTGCCGTAACTTGCCTGCCTCAATGAAGTGGCCGTGAGAAAATTCGCAAACGCCAGCAAGCCCCCTTTTTGTCGCGACAGCGCCTGCGTCGGTTTGTGAAACGGCTCTGCTCCTGCAGACTGCGGCAAATTTTGCGCAAACGGGTACTACCACGCCGCGCGTGCAACCAGCTTCAATTGTTGAATTACAGCTGCGTCGCCCGCACGGGAGACAGCGTTTTGGTAAGCCATCTGCAAGCTCTGCTGCAACTGGGACCGGGAGGGGAGGTTGACGTGCTTGCAGCTGGCACACGGCCCGCAGCGCCAAGGCGTAGCCCACAGTCCCGCCCCTTCTGTCAAGTTTAAAACATCGAACCGCGCGCATCGTATGAACTGCCTGGCAGTGTCACTGGTCACATGCCACAGCAAGTGACCAAATGCCACTGACCTGTGGTTGCCTCCGCGGCAGTACGCCACGACAGTGATGTGCGGCCTGGCCATGGGTTCGTTCACAAACCTGGCCAAGACCGCACCCTCCGCAAAGAATCAGCAAAGACCGGGTGCTTGGACACGCCGAGCAGGATCTGCGGGTGAAGGCCAATGTGGTCCCTCAGGCGTGGGTCCCCCTCTGGGTCATGAGCGCCTCTCAAGTCGAGAAACATGACCGGGCCCGTCGAAGGCCATGAGCCCAGGAACCGCACGCAAACAGACCATCAAAGCTTCTTCTAGATATCCGCGTGCCGGGCACTGTCTGATTTGAGAGTTTGCATGGCCGTGACGACGGCCGGGTCCCTGACTTGCTCTTTCAACAAAGCAGGCAAAACGCTGCTCAAGTTGCTTGTCCCGCATGTGATAATGCGAAGCTGGCATTCTGGGAGAAAGCCGTCCGGCACGCTGGCTGGAACTCCCCCGTGCCCAGCGTTTGGATACGCCACTTGGCATCGGAGGCGGGCCTGCCACAGCTGGGGCCGGGGTACCACCACCGGCTCCCAGCAGCACTGCGGCAAGCCTGACTGGCACCATGCCACGATCAGCGGGGTCTGTGTTGATGCCTTCAATAACCTGCCAGCAAGCACTGTCGCCCCGCGGCTTCTCACCACCTGGCGCGTTTCTCCACCACCTCCCTTGACTCAGGGCCGCTAGCGAAGCCTGCCGGTTTTCAGAGTTTTGGGTTGCCCACTTTGTCGCCGGCCCGGCCCACCTTGTCTTGGCCTTGTTCTTGGCGCGCTTGGCAACGGTTGAATTGGGAATGCTCCAGCCACAATGGAAGCGCAGCAGCCTAACGTTCTCCCCTGCTGCCTTCAACCTCTCGAAGAAATCAATGTCCTGGTATTCCGTCGGGTGGAAGGCTTCATCGTAGCCCCCAAGGACCACATAGGCGTGGTCGGGGCACCCCACGCGCCCAGTGCAGCCCGAGTCAGAGCCCCCAACGCATCTGAAGCCCCAAATGCTGTTGTTTTGCAGCAGCGCCCCAACCCCGCACCCGCGCGAGAGAAGCTGCTTGCAGAAGTCCGCGCTCAAAAAGGAGGTGGGCTCTGTTGTTTCCAGGGGCACGCGGTGGGTGGCCGTATTTTTGGCAGCCACCCGTCCACAGCCTCTGCCCCAGTTTCCCAGGGTGTGACCAGCGCCAGTTTGCATTCTTGCACTGGGATGAATGGAAAAATTGTTTTCCGGCAGCACTCACAACCAGACTTCCATTTCTCAAGTGCTCACTGAAATGCTGCTTGAGAAATCTGACAGTGTCCCCAAAGTCAGCTTCCTCCCACCAGCGCCAGAGTCGAAGAGGGCAACGCAAAACCGCACCAGATGCTCCAAACACATGGCCAAGTTGATGGCCAGTGCGTTTCGGAGCTGCCGCCAAAACATGCTCTTCAGGCCGTCGCCAAAGGCAACCTTTGATCACCTTCTCTGGCTCGGGACTCAGGCCATGCTGAGTCATGGCCTCCTGGGCGCACCGCTGCGCCAGCTCCCAGGCTGGCCTGGCTGGAACCACAAGCAGCGGCTGCGAACGCATGCTCGTCTCTGCGGCCTGTCTGAACGGCGGCGCGCTTGCCGGAGGCGGTGGCGGAGGTGGTGGCGGAGCCGGGGCTGGCTGCTGCTCAGGCGCCGCTGGCTTTGTGGGCGGCTTTGGCGCCGGCCTTGTTGGTGGACCGCCGGGCGAGCGTATCACACGGGCTTGGCCGTCTGCTTCAACGCGGATGTTGCCGCAGTCGTCCCTGGTAAGCTTCACCAACGGCACCTCCTGTGTCCTCACAATCGCTGTGGCCTCGTAACTCGGACCTTGGTGGCTGCTGGACTGCGCTGCTGACGCAGGCTCTGCTGGCTTTCCGGGACCTTGCCCACTTGCTCTGCGGGCGTTTGCACTGTCATGTGGCCTGCGTCAGCACTGGCAGCTGCATGCGCCGGGCCATCGTTATCCTCATCCGGATCCCAATCTGCTTCCTCGGCGGCGGGGCAAAATTTAATCAATTCTGAGCAGCTCTCGTGCGTGGCGCAGGAAACTGCACGAAACGCCAAAAGCGAAAGTGGAATAATACCGCCAAGGCGCACTGAGAAGGTCTGCCTCCCCCGCATTACCTTGCTTGTCCTCGCCCTCCTCGTCTTCGTCCTTGGCGTTGTCGCCTGCTGCGGCTTCAGTGGGTAGCTTCATCCTCGGTGGTCGAAGCTGCCGCCGCTCCAGACCTGGCAGAAGATGCGCCACATAGTCGCAGAAGAGCTTCCAAGCATCCCTTGCGTGCTGCCCTTTCACCGTGACTCTGGAGAGGTGCGGCTGTTTCTTTTTCTTTACCTTTATCATGCAGCCCAGGTCCTCAATTTGGGTTCGCGCCTCTTGGTAATGCTGGCCCGGAGGAAGGTCTGTGAGCGCAAGCGGGACGCAGCCGTAGACAAACTCGTCGTCAGGAAAGTCTTGCTGCCACGCGCCTTGCTCCGGAACTCGTCTGGCCGCCTTGCGGCGGGACTCGTCTGCCTCGTCACCTTCATTCTGCTAGCGTCCGCGCCTGCCTGCTCCTTCATCCTGCCACTGCCACCCGTCGCCGTCCCAGCCGCGCCACCACCTAGACCAAGATGACCAGCCCCAGCCGCTCATGGCAGCGAATCGACTGCAATCCTGTTTTTTGAGCAGTGTGCAGCAAACCAACTTCAAGCCGACCAACCCGCCCTGGTGCCAATGCGGCAATGACACAACCAACTTGCTACATCCTGCAGGCCGCATTTAAGCAAAGGTGTTCATGTTGGCGACTTACGTTCGCCCCTTAGTGTTGAACCACAAGCAACTTCAAGCACAACCGTCAGTTGAACTTAGCACGCTTGCAACCGCACAGCGCGCCCAGCAAGACGTTGATTTTTTGCCCCTTGGCAAAGTCAACTGCTCGCTCCGCCTGGCCGTTTAAGGCCTGACTGAAGGCCTAGACAATAAGTAGACCTCATGGTCTCCACAATAAGCTGCTTAGGTCACGTGAGGGGGCGCGGCAGGAGCAACACGACATTGAAGAATCCCAGAAGACTCAGCCAAACGCGCCAGAGCAGCGCTGCCAGCGTCGAGGTCCTGCAGGGGCTGCTTGACTCTGCAAACTAGACAGTGGCAGAATGTTCCGAAGGGGCAAAATTAATACACAATTCCAAAAAAACTCTCCATGTGACTGTGAGCCTATGCTCGGTTAAGAACACATATCTCACATGAGAAACGTGTGTGTGTGAAAACAGCCAGCAACAGCAAGCAAAGTGCTTGAAGAAAACAGCCCGGAAACTGCTCCTTGCCCACTTTCCTCCAACCAGATCCTGATCTCGATCCGCCAGCTGCTCCTCAAGTCCTGCCAGGGCAGCAGGCGGGCCAGGGGGGAAACGCGCATCTAAAGCAAATGTGCCTACGAGCCATACCAACATACCACCAAACTAAGGGCCGTCTTGGCCTTCTCCAGCAACCGTTTCGCAATAGAAGTATGAGTGAGGGGTACAACCACCTTCACTTACTGTGGAGCTGATTGTCTTGCAAGTCGGCACGTGCGACATCTCAAGTTGTCAAAGATTGATGGGCAAAGCTGGCCTTCTGAGACTAATTTTCGAGCCGCCCTCTTGGCCTGCAGTAATTCCAAATTCCTTGCTGCAGCACGGCTTTTGGAAGCGGCGCCTGTAAATTGCCACGCCAGCCCAACATGACACAAGCAAATGCAAGAATTTGCAAGATTCTCGCTCCCAACCTTGTCCGTTGCAAAGCTCAGGCCGTTATTAATTTCAACAGGTTCTCGATCTGAACTTGGGTGAGGGGTACAACCACCTTCACCAAACACTGAGGGTCTTGCAACTTCGGCGGCCTCCGGCTAACAACCGCCACACATTCACTTATGCAAGCTTAAAGGGGAGTCTTCCCCGAAAGCCGAGGCATCAATCATGGTCCGTATTCGCACTTTGCACTGTTTGCTGCGCAGGCCAGCCTTGTTGAGCAAAACCAAAGACTCAGCCGATGGAGAAACATCTTTATCCTCCGATGCAAACCCCGCCTGTTTCCCGCAATGGTGCCTGGACCTTAAAAAAAAACTTAGCATCCGACATGCGCTGAAGTGCCCACCACCTTGCTGAAAAGGCCTTCTGGAGG